TTGTTAACTTTTTTTCATTTTCCAAAGAGTTTCTATGCACCTAAACATTAAGGTTATGTTTGGTTTGAAGGAAAAGGTAGGGAAATTCATACAAGATTTGTAAAGGTTTCCCTACCTTTCTTTTCCTTTCCTTTCCTTTCCCTACCTTTTCCTTCAAACCAAACATAGTGTAAGAGAGAGACAATTGAGAATTGAGAAATCGATAAAAACTACATGGGGTCATAATTTAAACATTAATTTTCTTTTATCCTTGATTTTTGTATTTCCTCTCCATCATTAATAAAATTAATTTTATTTATCACATTTATATTCTTAATGTAACAAATACATAATATTAGATATGTGCACCTATATTTTTTACATAATTTCTATCTTTTATATGATTTGTTTTACTTCTATCTATTTTTAATTTTATTATTTAATTATGATATCATGGGATGATGACCCATTTGACATAGATGGCTGAACCATTGACCCACCACTTGCATTAATGAAAAGCTGGTTTGCTTATTGTATTCCAATCTCATTATTAGTGAAAGCAAATATTATTTTCACACTTATTTTTGTTTATTCTTTTTTTTTTTTTTTACTGTCTGACACCCCCATAGGGGTTGTTACTCTTTTAAGTAAACAGTACAACATCACATCCTCAACTCTTTTCTTAAGAGATGATAATAGTGGGATTTGAAGCTGCACCACCACCACTAGGACAATTCATATAGTGCACCAACTGGGATACCCCTCAGTTGGTTAAATCTAATGAATATATAATGTGAGAGAAGTGCTTAAATGTTTTCTACTATATATATATATATATATATATATATATATATATATATATATATATTATCTTTTTATGCTTCTAACCCCTTAAATATTTATTATTTAATTATGACATCCTGGGTTGATTTATTTGGTCCAAAAGTTTGGATTGTTAACATGCTATCTAGAGAAGAAATGGTTTCATTCTTAGGTCAATTTTAAATCTTGTATTTCATTTGTATCATTAATAAAAAATTATTTTTTATTGCACTTATTTTTATTTAATATGACTAATATATAATATTATAAATGTATCTAATTTTTTCTATTTTTTTGCATTCCATAATTTAAATATTTCTATTTTAAAAATTTTACTATTTAACTATGACATCATGTGTTGATACATTTGGCCCAAATGATTGAACCACTTACTTGCCACATAGATGCAGAAATGGTTTCATTTCCATATTGATTTTGAAATTTGTAATCTATTTTCATCATTAACAAAAAAATACTTGTTATTTGTCATTATGGATTCACCTATTTGACCCAAATGGTTGAATGGTTTAACTGCCACTTGAAAAATAAATGGTTTTGTTTATCGGTTTGTTTTTAAAATATTGGTTTTATACCATTGAAATTATTTTATCATGGATTTAATCAGTGGAATTTAATATTGGTTTTATACCATTTAAGGTTGAATATTGGTGCTAACTTTGTCCATCGAAATAATAAACATTGAATGCAAAATTAAAAGGCACTTTTGTGAATTAAAAATGCATTTAATGCTAAGATAATATGTCCTTTATACCATCACATTTTCCCAAATTTAAATTCAACAGATGGGAGCAATTTTGTTTATTAAAGAAAACAAAACATACACTGCAATAGTAGAATGACATTTTTACCATCACCATTTCTCTTGTATTTAAATCCAAAGAGGGGGTACTTCCGTCAATTGAAAATTCCAAAAACATGTGCAACATATTTTGTACTTTGGGTGTGTTCTTTTTTTTTTTTTTGGATTTTGAGAGGGGGAAAAGTTGGTAAGTGGAATTTTGGTTCCCATTGACCAAGAATCCCATGTTCATTTTTCAGATTTATGTGGAAAGTTTATTTTCCTAGGTATCCATCTCCAAGGTGGGTAAATAACTTTCCCCCCTATGGGGAAAACTGCTAACACTTGAATGAGACAAAAATACCCCTTTTAATTACGGATTTTATGGCTAAAATGATCATTACCTTATTTACTTGGGAAATAAAAGAACATGGGTAAATGCACTTACCCGACTTAAGTGTTTCGCAAGAAAAACTTACCCAGGTAATTGCATTTACTTGGGTAAGTAACTTACCGAAAAGCGAATAGGACCTTTATAGCCATGGGCCGGGTAGCCCGATGGCCCGACCCGGCCCGGCCCGCACCCCGGTCAGGCTTGGTCATGTAAATAGGCCCGCGGGCCTAACACAGTAAGCCCGACTGTGTTACGGGTCGGGCTCGGGATTTGTCAAAAAAGCCCGGCCCGGCCTAACTCAGCATTATATATTTTATAAAATACATAATATGTATTTTATATATTATATAAAATATATAAATAATATAATATTTATTGAAATATGTATATATTTATAATTTAATAAATACATTTTTTTATTTTTTTCTTTATAATTTCTCTCTCACTCTCTCTCACTCTCTCTCTCTCTCTCTCTCTCTATTCAGTCGCTTCAGCAGTAATAACAACATGGGATAAATTTTGGGCTCGCGCCCAGGCCCGGGCTTTGGACTTTTATGAGGGCCGGGCTTGGGCCCAAGTTGTAGGCCCGATGGTCGGACCGGGCCTTAAAAAAATCTGTTAATACAGAGTGAAAGCCCGGCCCGACCTGTCCCATGAATAGGTCTAGATGTGAGTAGTGATTGCCATTTATGGCATGACCTAGCCTAGCCCTAAGATTTTTGGGCTCATACAACCAATCTTCTTCTAGGCCTAGACCTACACTAGGTCCACACAAAATGCATCAAGCCTGAGCCAAGCAAGCCCTAGGCCTGCTCAACATGGCATGGCCCGTATGTAATGATATATATGTACGGGTGGCCAACAAAAACGGAAAAACCAAAAAACCAAACTAAATCAAGAAAATTGAATTAATTGATCGGTTTGATATTTTTGAAAAACTGAATGATCTGTATAGTTTTTGTATAACCTAGAAAAAACCAGCGGTTAACCAAACCAAGCGATATGTATTTTTAATATATCATTAGGGATACAAACCGATCAGATCGAATTCAAATAAGGGTATATATGAATCCGGTTCGATACTATAAATTGTAAATCTGGTCCGATCCAAAGATCTAATCAGATTTAAAAAACAATGATTCAAACTTGAATTTATTAAAGATGTCGGATATTCGCGAATATGACACAATTTGTATTTATTTTTAAAAAATAATGTTACAAATAAAGAGAATGATTAAATTCATAGTCATAAAAGTATTTTCGAATGATGAAGATCATTTTGGTATGTGTTAAACGAATAGAATTCGGGTCAATCTTAATAGGATGAAATTTGAATTCGAATTTGGACAACCGGATACCATTTGCAAGGTGGGGGTATATTTATTTTGCTAGGCAAACTTGAGGGTAGGGGGTTGGGGATAGAAAAGGACAAATGACAAAAAGGTAGGCTCTGACAAGGTCCAGGGCGAGCTGGTGGACAAATACCGCCCTTGCCACATCCCCGATCAACCTGGTCAATGATAAAAAACGCCCTGATCGGGGCAGCTGGTCAGATTGCATCTCTAAATGAAAGCAGAAAGCAGTGTTGTCAAGCCTGAACTAGATCTGACGGTCTACATGTAAAGCTATAACCAAGTTGCCAACGCCTATTTTTGGTGCACCACCGGCTCTTGAGATGTTGAAAACCTATTTTTGTGTGCACCACCGATTAAGATTGTATTTAGTATTATTGTTGTTACATCACATTACGTAAACAGTGATGTAAACAGTAGCCTATTTTATCTACAATGTAATGTTTATAGTAGATGCAACTGATCACTAGTCAGAACTCGCCAAGTGGCAGCAAGCTAAGGGTAAAGTTGTTAATTGACTAGACTTACTTAGGGTAGGTTGACCTGGCCAAATTGGCCTGATTTGGACAAGTTGAGGTGACCTAACCGAACCAATCTAACCTAGACAGTTGATCTAATCTGACCGAACTGACCCATCAAGTATCAATTCATATCATGCACAAGTAACACGTAGACATCCATACAAGCATACGTGGCCGAGCTGATTAAAATATCAATGCCAACACACCCCATATAGGTCCACTGCCTATCATGTGCACAGGTGTTAACTAAGGGCGTGACAAATGGACCGAACTCTAACCACATATAAGTGACACGTCAGTTCTTAAATGAAACCCCTCTGTCATACATAAGTGAGACCCCATGTGAACGCAACATAATTATGCTACTATGCACAAGACACACCACATCTCTACCTCATCCCTCCAATTTCAACGTCAACAAAGGTGTTTGTGTCTTTCTAAAGCGTTTTTTTAGGTGTCCAGATTGAATTTTAATGTTATTTTCTTTGGGGGTATTATCCTTTTATCCATCGAGAAGGACAAGTAAAGCTTGCCTAAAACAGGAGATCTTAAGAAGCGATTGGAGGAGGTCACGCCAACCCCATTTCTCTGTCTATTTACTCGATGGATGAGCTTTTTAGACCGACAAGGATGGAGATTACCTTCCCATCAAGGTGACCAATCAAATTTGGCTTTTAATGCTCAATGAATGGTTGATGTTACAGAACTGTTGTTTGCAAGGACACTGAAAAAAAATCGTTTCAAACGTTTCCATTCTGACAAGGGGGTATAAAAAAATTAGGGGTTTTTATGCATTTTAAATTCCAACACAGGAAGAAAAGGTACAGAGGGGAAATGCAATTCTCACTAGCTTCTAGTACCGAAGTAGAGGTGCTCATACTGCTGACATGCAGATACCAATCCCGCATCAAATCGACATCCCCTGCTATGGAGAACTGCAAGCTGCCATGTAACCACCTTGACTAAAGGATCACTTGGTGATGGCTCAATCAAGGAATCATCCAAGGAATAAAGAAAAGAAGGTTTTCTGGATAGGGAGTTCAACGAGCATCCTGGTGCCTGAAAATCAGGTATGCTGAGATTCCCATGTGTATAATCCATGAATTACAGTACAGACAACCCATGGAAAGTCATCGACACAAATCGGATAACTGCCTTTAAATTAGATAGCCAAATAGTTCAACATTAAATACATAGAACAGAACGTTCATAGATTTTATTTGGAAACTAAAACCTCATCCACACGAGTGCCGGGGCAATCTGACTACTCAAATCTCAGTATAATGACACAAATCAGTAATCTACAATATATTCCCACATAGCGTTACAATGCTGTCATCTCAACACCCTCCCCCAACCCGGGGAAATTTCATCTAAGGTCCAGAAATTTACTGGGGATTAGGAGGGCGGCTGTTTGCAGAACAAACTCGGGACCCCCACTCCAAAAGCTCTTTGCTAGTGTCATCTTTGTGCACAAGAACTTCAATGAAACATAATGAATCTTGTTTTTCTCCCGTAGCTGTTGCAATCGCCTCTGTTAGCTCATCCTCTGTCCGGACCTGCATTTCAATTATCCAATCCATAAAACCTACCATGAGTGGGAATTGCTAACAATAGGCGGAATTAAGCATAAATGGTTCACAGGGTATTTTCAGGAATGGACCCAACATTGCACTGCACATGCAGTATACAGTGGATCTCTACAATGGCACCTCTTCGACTGGCATAGCCCAGATTAGAAACCAGATCAATCGAGAAAAATCAAGCTGATCATTTTGGTATCCAGTTAATCTAGTTTCTTTGGCTGTGAAAATTCAAAGAGCTATCTACAAATTTAATAATTTAGATTGCTAGCCAGGTGCGCCACATGTACGCTAATGATGGGTTACTTCATTCCTGATGTATCATGCATTCTTTTAATGGGAATAGAAGAGATAACTAGACATTTATCCTTTCAGGCTAACCTTGGCAGTCCAACATTTTCCTTCACCATTATGGATTGCATCTACAAGCCCGGTGTAGTTCCAGTTCTTAATAACATTGTATGGACCATCATGAATCTCTACTTCAATAGTATATCCTCCATTGTTGATGAGGAATATAATGCTCCTTTGACCACATCTGATCATTGTCGAGATATCCTGAGCAGTTACCTGAAAAATGGTATAGGAGAATTAATCAGATTTACAAGACATTCAACCTCTGAACTAAAACTGACTAAAAACAGATCTCAGATAATGGTTCATTTTATGGCATAAAATAGGCACACAGACCAACCTGGAAACTTCCATCACCAATGCACGCAATCACACGCTTTTCTTTAGCAGCCTGAGCATACCCAAGTGTTGCACCTACTGACCACCCAATGGATCCATATTGCATCTGGAACTCGTATCTGCATTAAGTTACATTTAAATTTGAGTGCTGATTAAAAACTAGGGGAGTAATTCTTGGCATACAGTTTATATAAAAGTAACCTGAATTACTTACCCACAATTTTCTGGGAGACGGAGCTTCTGACAGTTGAACCATGAGTCACCTGTCTCAGAAATAACTGCTGTGCCTCCGCTTAGCATATCCTGTTTAATGATTCATACCCATTAGAAGAATAACAAGCAACAGATGGAATATCTGTAATTCTAGAATGCATGGATCCAGTAGCATATTTAAGCTTGTATTTCACTTCAAGATTGAAAGTATTTAGGTTCTCAGGAAATGCACGCATACACACATACATGAGTAAACATGCATATACACATACAAAAGTACTTAAAATATGTAGGTATACATAAAAATACACACATTGACAAAGAAGGAAGAACAAGGGAAGGGTTTCAGTTATTCACCATGGCCTGGGAGATTTCCTATAAAGATAACCAGAATGGATGATAATGATTGCTTCCTAGATCAAAGGTAATCCAAGAAAAATGCTTAGAAAATAGAGCAAACATCAATCAATCACATCACTTTTGGACTAGGAAACTCACGACTGGCAGATTCCATTAATTGGATATATGCAAAGTGCTACGTGCATGATAATGCCATTTTTATCCTAGTCATAGTCTAAAAAAGAAGTTGATAATATTGTTCAGCATCCAGGGGGTGTGGACTAATATTCTAGATTGTGTGTCTGTTACTTGCCTGAATGTGTTTAAACAGGATGTTAACTCTCAAAGGTTCATCTTGATTTCGCTTAAGAGGGATGCCTGGAGGAATATAGATACGGCGGTAATTCTCCACTGCTGTGCTGTTCTTCTTCAGCTTCTTGGCCAATGCCGTCAAGAATTCAGCCATGAAAACCCAACCTAAGGAAGGTCCATTGCCAATATTCACACGATTGGGATGAACTATTACTGATTTCTCCTTCTTGATCAGCAAGGAGTAGCCCACTGAGCTGTAGTCATTGAAGATGGGACCAACAAAAACGTAGGCATCAGCAGACTCCACAATCTCACCACAGAAGCCAGTGCTGACGGCACCCCAGTATGTCCCAATGAAATGGGGGTGGTGCTCTGGAACCAGACCCTTGCTTGATGGCATAATTGCAATTGGATAACCACATGCATCTGCCAGCTCCATAAATGCCTTTTGTGCCTTGGCTACCCTTAATTTGGGCCCACCCACAAGAACGGGCTTCACTGCTTTGTTTAGAAAATTTGCTGTTGCCTCAACTGCTGCTTCCAGTCCCATTTTATTGCTCACCCTGCATTCAAGTGAGTTTGGTCATTAAATGATATTCTTGATAGCCAGGTAAATTACAAAAGCAGATATAGATGTATGAAGAATAATGTGATGACAAGATATCATAAATGGATGGCCTCCAAATTCCCAAATAAATAAATAAATATATAAGAGAAAAAGAACCCTCTGCTTATGAAGAAAAATAAGGAAACTTATTATGCAAACTCCCAAATATTTATCATTGATTACATTAATACAAAGATTATGCAGAAATAAATTAAATAAGTTATTCTGGTGAAGAAAACCTATGACATTTTCAATTTGCATTACTCGTTATCAAGGAGCGTCAATCGAGAATAATTAGTTTTTGCTTCTCAAAAGAAAAAAAAAAAAAAAAAAGAAGAAGAAGAAAAAGAAAAACGTCAAGACACTTTAACAGGACTAGTACTAATTAGTTCATGTTCTCTATCGTGTCTTTCTTTCCTTCTATTTCTACTTAAAGAACACAATCCTAAACAAGTACAAGGCATTAGAAGAAGGGGTCAACTTCATTTAAGCCAATTTCCTTTCAACTCATCAAAATTTAATGACAAGTTCACAAAGGATTTTTCCACTTAATATTAAATGTATATTTAGAAATAAAAGGAGAAAAACAGAGAGGGAAACCATACCATGGTGCAAGGAAGAAAGGAACTGGCTCCCTACCGAAAGTAGGATGAGGAATTGCTGGCAAATTGCAGCTTATGCTGATATAGACAGGCTTACACTCCTTCAAAGCATTCGAAATTGCAGTATCTATTTGCTCGTGTGCATCGTCCAAGTGATTCACCACTGCCTGTTCCAGACATAACAATCCCCATCACAACAGCAGAATACAAATAACCCCCTTCAATTTCAGAGAATTTCCTCAAGTAGACAATAAAAATAATTATTTTATCGTTGATGTCACTAGCATCGCACTTGAACTAACATGGGTCGTCTCTCATTCTTTGCTTTAACAACACAAATTTAACTTGTAAGTTAATTTATCAACTCAGAGAGTTCTAAAAAAATCAAGAGATGGAATTCCGTAACTCATGGCGGGTGGAACAGTGACTTGCCTGATGACATGTGACCGTCTGAAAGCACCGAAGCTCCTGGCTGAAATCCGGCAACCCGATCGTGTGGTGGAGAATCCGATTGGTACCGTAGTCATTCGAATTGGGTCCACCAACGATGCAAATAACAGGGAGGTTCTCACTGTAAGCACCGGCAATGGCGTTGAGGACGCTAAGCCCACCAACAGTGAAGGTGACGACGCAAGCGCCAACCCCTTTGAAACGGGCGTACCCATCTGCAGCATACCCAGCGTTGAGCTCGTTGCAGCAGCCGATGACGTTGAGATCGGGTTCGGCGATCAGGTGATCGAGAAGCGTCAGATTGAAGTCACCCGGCACAGAGAACACATCACGAACGCCGATTTGGACAAGCCGACGAGCCAGATGCCGACCAAGGGTGCCGCTGGAGGCACTACCTCGGACAGCCGGAAGGACGATGCTGGGATGCCCCGTTGCTCCGATATTATTCTGGGCTTCCATTTTCGATTCTGAGGTTGATGAAAAGAGGGTTAAATTAATCAGACAAAGCTTAAGATGGTGAGGAAGAGATCATAGAGCTTCTGTACTTAAAAAGAAAGAACTAAGGGGGTGGTTTTAAGAAACCAGGGGCGGATTTAGGGAATTAGGGGGACGAGGACATGGTAATTTGTAGAAGATGCGAAAGGAAGGAAGCCTGTAAGAAGAAATGAAAGGAGATTTCGTGGGGAGAATTATTGATTTGATTCTGAAAATATGAAATCTATCTACAATGACCAATTGACGCTGTGTTTTGATTATTATATGGCTTCCGCCTCTTGGTGAGCTGCATGCGTTGGACTGTATGGAGTCCACTGACTAATAGTTTACACTTAAAACGAGATAATTAGCGAAAGCTAATCTGGATTAAGACCACAAACGGACAAAGACAATTACATTAATTAAAATTAAATTACATCTTTGAAATTTGAAGTTGAAATCCTTGGACCAGAGTGACTTCACTTCAGGTGGTTACGTATCCAGACCGTCCAAATTGAGGAACCAGTATCAACATCTGTGATCTGTTAACTAATTTTTGTATTTTAGTTTACGACTTTACGCCACGGAGAGGAGAGGACTTCATTGGGCAATGGGCATGCCCACTTACCCAGGCCCATATTCAAAGGGTAGGGCTAGGACCGTAGGAGGTAGGACCACGTCGTCTGAAGAGTTGAGCCAATGAGCCCGGCGGCTTGACAAAAAATGTGAATCTGTTGTCAATAGTTTTGTGCTTCGGTTCGGGTGTGGGCCTACAGCCCACAAGACAAGACCAATAGTTAGGACCTGGTCACCTGGGGCCTGAGGGCTTAAAGTCTGTATTACACGCGGCGGGTCCTATGTTTGTTTGGTTATGTAGTAATGCTAATGCATTGAAAGATGATGAATCCCAATCTTATCCTTTTGTTTGGAAGAAAAAGGAAAGTAGGAAAGAAATGGAATATATTAAGTGTGAAGACAGAAACATACAGTGTGAATATAGAATGTTGAGAATTGAACTATCAAAACACGAGTCTGTGAATAACAAGATTATGGTATCGATCTTCCAACAGAGTTCATATATGCATTAAGTTTTGGAGGTCTTTGTCCTTTAAAGTTTAAAACCGTTTGATTAGTATCTTAGAGTCTGTTTGGCACATCTTTCTGTGTGACCGAAAATCGGTCTATTTTCATTTGGCATGCAGAAGATCTAACCGCTAAAAGATGGGATGCGGAAAAGACGTGCAAAACACATTTTGGGCTGATTTCGGGAAACTCTAAATGAAGTTTCCCGTGTCCTTCGCATTTTATCTCGCGTAGAAAGATCTAAAACGGTGTACGAAAAGACACGCATCTACCAAATGGTCTTTGTGCTACCTAGATCTTATGCCCAAAACTCAATGTGTGTTTTAACTATCAGAGCTTCTCAAAAAAACTTGTCAAACAGGCCCTTAATCTACGTTGATCTATCGGGCTGTTAAATGATAGATTTTAGTTAGGTGTAGAAAGATGGAAGAAACTTCATTTAAAGTTTCTTAGTTTTCGGATATTTTGGACTTCTGGAAGCTTTTTTGGGTGCAGTTCTTTTAAATTGTCAAAAACCCAAAAAGTTTGCCAAACGCCCCCTATATTATTGGTCGGTGGTGTTTTATTTAAAAAGGGTGAGTGTGACATATAACAGCAGAGCAGCTTAATGGTTTTTATTTTGGTGATTGCTCCCATAATTAAAACTTAGCTGTAGTACTTGAATGAATAAGATGAGCTTTAATTAATTTGGCATCTAAGACAAGCCCAAAATCTAATAAGAGGAGGCTTCCTGCATGCAGCAGCTCTATTATTTGTTTTTGTATGCCTTGCAAGTTACAAATTCATCATACAGCACACATCTGGAATATTTGATGTTTAATTCTAGCTATGAAATTTCAGTGCTTTTCCTTTAGAGTAATTCTAGCTATGATTAAATTTTTTATGAATTTACTATTTTACCCTTCATTATCTCACGCTTTGTTTTCTTCCACTTCGATAGAAGTTCATCACACAGAGTACTTCAAGAAGTACCACTCCAAATGAATAGACATTTGGTTTATCAGTCAGCTGCTGCCGTTTAAAATACCCTGAGTCCAGATACCCAAAGCTACCTTTTACACCAGTGCTAACATGGGTCTCATCCAGACAGGGGCCAGACCTTGAAAGGCCGAAGTCAGCGACCTTGGCGACATAGTTTTCATCAAGCAAAATGTTGGTTGATTTAACATCGCGATGGATGATTCCCTGAGTTGAACCTGTGTGAAGGTAATGGAGGCCTCTGGCTGAACCAACGCATATCTCAAGCCTCTGCTTCCAAGACAAAGGTTGAAACTCTGAACCATATAAATGGTTCCTTAATGGCCCCTTCTCCATATACTCATATACCAGTATCATCTCCGACTGTTCTTCGCAAAACCCAATCCGGGAAACGAGATGCCGGTGGCGAATCTTTGACAGAGCTGTTATCTTTGTTTGGAATTCTGGAAGGCTCTGCCTAAACCCCGGTACACCTCGCTTCACAGCAACTCTTGTGTTGTCTCTGAGCACTCCCTTTACACCATACCAAATCCACCCGTACCGACAAGATGGGAATTTTTCAGAGGCAAGATGGAAGTTCATCGCAAGAACATCAGAGGACGATTTTACAACAAGTAATTACTTAATTCATATTTCTTTAATCCAAGAACATAAAACTTACTGTTATGGTCACAGGAACCGACAGCGCACTACATAGGCAGCAGTACGCACAGCAGCAAACACCGCCTGGCAGCGCCGCACAGCAACACGCGTCGCCCAATAGTGCGCAGCACGCACCGCCTGGCAGCACACGGCACGCACTGCCCGACAGCGTGCAGCACACACCACCCGACAGCACGCAGCACACATCGCCCGATAGCAGCACTAGGCAACAGCATGCACCACACAGCAGCAGCACACACCTCACGGCAGCAGCACGCACCGCACGGCAGCAACACCGCGAGATGCGCACACCGCCCGACAACAGCAGTAAGGCGGGGCCCACATGACAGCTCATCAGGCTGGGCCCACACTTATCTTACCACATCAGCTTTGTCCGCCAACTCGCCGCCAGCTTACCTTATCCCTATCTTATTCCATATCCTTTATCCCTTATCCTTATCCCTTATCCCTTATCTTATCTTATCCTTATCTTTATCTTAAGTAAGAGTTGTATTACCATTAGGAGTAGGTAATTAGGAGTTTGAGTTCAAGTTGGAGTTTGAGTTTAATTAGGAATTTCCYTYTGTAAKCTCCTATTTAAGGAGCYACRAATTGAAATAAAGCATTCAGTTTTCCAGTCAAGAAAAGAGTGAGGAGAGTTCGGGTGGTCTCTTGGACAAATCATCCCAAGGGAGAGTTCGGGTGGTCTCTTGGATAAATCACCCATTCAGTTTCCACAATAGGGTCTACACGCAAGGGAAGGCGCAAGGCACAAGGGGGAAGCAGGGCTTTCTCACCGAGGACCGACCCGTGACGAGATCCTACGCGCAGGCCCATAACATTTTGGTATCAGAGCCAAACGTCACGGGCGATATGGAGCAGCTATCATTCAAGGTCAACGAACTGGAACATAGGCTAGCAGAAACTAGCACGGAGGTTCGTGAAGTCAAGGAAGATGTCTGGGAGATGCGACGCCTGCTGGAAGCATTCCTCTCCAACAAGGAAAGGAGTTCTGTGGGAATCGCCAACACAAACAGTCGTCGTCCGGACTGGGCAGAGGCATCCAGCGAACAACAGATCGCTGCCCCTATAGCCGCAGTTATTCCCAAGGATCAGCGCGCGGAGGATGAAACTGTAAAGTCTCCTCCTTTGGTCGGGGACAATGTCACAAACATTATATTGGTACCTGCAGAATGCGCTCCTTGGTCAAAGACAGGTGGGCTTGGCGATGTTGCTGGGGCTTTACCGAAGGCTTTGGCTCGGCATGGACATAGAGTTATGGTTGTGGCACCACGGCATGGTAACTATGCAGAAGCCTAAGAAACAGGAGTGCGCAAGAGATATAAGGTGGACGGGCAGGATAWGGAGGTAACTTTCTTCCAAGCTTATATTGATGGCATGGATTTTGTGTTCATGGACAGTCCTATGTTTCGCAATATTGAGGGAAATATATATGGGGGAGGCCGAGAGGATATTTTAAAACGCATGGTTCTCTTCGGAAAGGCTGTTCTTGAGGTTCCCTTCTGTAAGTATACCCGGTGTGTTCCTGTGATCCACAACATAGCATACCAGGGCCGTGGTCCAGTACGCGATTTTTGTTATGTGAATCTTCCACAAAACTACTTCAAACGATATGACCTAGGAGGTGGGGAACACTTCAATGTCCTTGCGGCTGGCCTGAGTGCAGTAGATCGTGTAGTCACTGTAAGCCATGGTTATGCCTGGGAGCTGGAAACTAAAGAAGGTGGCTGGGTAACGCATCAAATAATCCAACTTTATGCACTGAGCTACGGGGCAGTCCCTGTTGTTCATGCTATTGGTGGACTGATAGATAGTGTGCAGTCGTTTGATCCGCAGAGTTCCAAGCCCCGTATCCAGAATTCGAGCTTGAGGACAAGCTCGTTGTCTAGGAGGGGTGTAATGTTATGGTCACACCAACCGACAGCGCATTGCGGCGCAGTCATAGGCAGCAACACGCACAGCAGGCCGCACAGCAACAGGCACCGCCTGGCAGCGCCGCACACACGCACCACCTGACAGCGCGTAGCACGCACCGCCTGGTAGCACACGGCACGCACCGCCCGACAACGCGCAACACGTAGCATGTAGCACGCACTGCACGGTAGCAGCACGCACCACACGGCAGCAGCACGCACCTCACGGCAGCAGCACGCACCGCACGACAGCAGCACCGCGAGATGCGCGCACCGCCCGACAGTAGTAGTAGGGCGGGGCCCACATGACAGATCATCAGGTTGGGCCCACACTTATCTTACCACATCAGCTCTACCCGCCAACTCGCCGCCAGTTTACCTTATCCCTTATCCCTTATCCCTATCTTATCCCTTATCCCTTATCCCTTATCTTATCTTATCCTTATCCTTATCTTAAGTAAGAGTTGTGTTACCATTAGGAGTAGGTAATTGGGAGTTTGAGTTTAAGTTGGAGTTTGAGTTTAATTAAGAATTTCCTTCTGTAATCTCCTATTTAAGGAGTTACGACTTGAAATAAATCATTCAGTTTTCCAGTCAAGAAAAGAGTGAAGAGAGTTCGGGTGGT